AAGCTAGTGAAATTCGAAGAGAGCTAGCTAGAGCATCGATCTCCAGTCGTGACTGGAGTCCCAGCTAGCGGAGTAGTGAAGGCGTCTGTGCGTCAGTACGTCTACTGAGAGCTCAATATTCCAACACGTCAGTTGATTTATTGATCGGCAAGACGGGAGACGTATGGGCGTTTCTAGCTCTTCCTTAGTCTCAATCTCCGTCGTGTCAATTGCGGCGCGTCGCTTCAGTGAAGTACACAGTTGGCGGATGGAGCAAAGAGTGTCGACAAAGAGGGCGGAAGATTTGGAGAAGACATTGTTCGCAATGGGAGCTTGTGGGATGATGGAGACGATAGAAGGAGCTTAGCTGCTCGGTCAAGACCGTCAGCTTTTTTGCTTTTCCCGCCTTGCACCATAGCTCGGTACCCCATTTGGTCCGGGTTTGCCTGTCAATCCTATCGATTGTCCCTTTCGAATCCTATGATTCGACCTCGGTGCAACCCAGTCACCAACTTAGTACCTCGCTACTGTGCCAAACCTACTTGCTTCTCGTATGTAGCATCAGGCTTTTGCCACAGTTTTCATGGTAGCATACGTGCGCGATCTCTACAGACAAAGACTACATCATGCGATTCAAGCCCAGGAGTGGAGGCAGCGCCGGGTAATCTTCGATTATTGATACATACATTTGTTGAACATGAAAATGACTACCGGTACCGGTATACCACTGCAATTTTTTTGGTGCGTCGTTTTGATCAGAATCTCGGCGCTATCGGATTGGCTGAAATCAATCTATGACTTTTGATATCGTTATCTAATTTTATTGAAATTCATATCTATTTTTATCAAGATGGTGCACTGAAATTGCAAATTGGAATCGTTTTGATTGGTTGATTCGGTTTTTCCCCATAAAGCTTCCCCCTGGATGCCATTTGATTTGTTTATGACATCGGAAGAACTTTGTCAATCAATCTTGCTAAGAATTTTCCCGATGAAACAAGCGCGTTAAAACCCTCCTTTTTCTTCCTTCTTCCTCTTCTTTTCCCCCTCTCTCCCCGCCTTCTCCCCCCACTAAGCCATAGCTGAGTGTACTCTTGCTCAAGTCAACACTTGGGACCTTGACCAGCAGTTATTATGTCACCTTCACAGAGAAGTCCTAGACTGAAAACATTTTTTTTAATATGTTGCATCGCTGTTTGGATCAATTATTTGTACTTGACCAATGCCCGTTTATTCGATGACATGGAAATACGGGACAATTATAGATCAGATAGGGGAAGAAAATTGAATGACTTTCCTTTGGCTGTTGACGGAAAGCATACACCTCGCTTGCTTTTAGGAATCGTATCGAAAAAATTCACTGAGAGGAATGAACGGAGAGTGCGACATGTCATAAGGCAAACCTACATCCACTGGTCTGGAAACAAAGTTTTCAATACCAGCGATGTAAAAATTTGTTCGGTGCATGACGCCATCAAAAACGATTTTGATTATTCTTTTTGTCGGGTCGTCTACAACTTTATCTTTCCAGTGACCAGTGGTATTTCAAATGAGACGAAATCATGGTATGAAGCGAATGAGCAAGATGGTTTTCTTTTGAATATGTTTGATACTGAAATCAATGTTTTCAATTTGTTGATACGTTGGTTGGAATGGTCAAGATTGCAGCAGCAGATCCATCAAATTGGTGAATTCGATTACTTCCTCTTTGCAACTACACGAATTAGTCTCCTTCCCGATATATTTTGGAATCAAAATGAGTTCTTGCGCGAATATCAATCTTCTTTGGTTGCTGGAGTGAGTTGGCATTCCAAAGGGAAAAAATGCAAGTCTTTGAATTGCCTAGGATTGGATGTTTTATGCCTATCAAGAAACTTGGTTTACAGCAATCAGCCATTTCGAGTTGATTCTGTAATTTCTACAAAACCGACGGCCATTCAAATATTGGACTTGCTAAACTTGACTTTCATGCAGGATCAATATACTCACGTTGTAGAGCTGAAAGGTGTGCGACTACGCAGTCAATGGGCCATTGACCATTTGGTCGCATGGGACGACTATGTAGCGAGAACTGTCGAGTTTGTTGATGTTGGTGAAAAGATGCGCGTGAAAAGTAGCCAGGCTCAACTCACCTCTTTCAATGGAATGGCTAGGATTCTTATTGGAATATTTTCCAATTCGTTTGACCCCGAAGAAAAAAAAAGGCGAGAAACCTTGAGATCTACATATCTAAGTGCTTACAATGATACCGTGACACCTGACAGAATTTGTTCCGTGAGAAGTCTACTCAAAAAAGGAGTGAAAGAGCACGATTGCCAAATGGCCTATGCGTTTGTTTTTGGTGCGAATTGCTCAGGGCCAGCAATGAGGGTCGATTCTTTGTCACTACCTGAAATGGAGACATCTCCGTTTGACGAAAATGAACCGGATGCGATTTATTTGGACATCAGAGAGAATATGGAAGATGGCAAATCAGACACCTGGTTAAAGTACGCATCCTTGCTTCAAAATGAATTATACTTTGATTACGTGGGCAAGATAGACTCGGACACAATTTTGTTCCCTGATACCTTCTTTGCCAGTATGTCTAGCTGGCCAAAATTTCCACAGAATGTCCGCATCTTTGGAGGAAAAGATGAAATCAAGTGGGAAGGTGTTGGAGGTCCAATTGTTGGACCAGCACATATGAGAGGGCAGTTTTATTGGATGTCACCTGATCTCGCACGCTTCATCAGCTCAAAATGCAATAGAACAAAGCTTTCTGTGTCAATTGAAGATAGAAACATCGGAAACTGTGTAAATTCGCATCCATTCCCAGTCAAGAGACTACGAGCAAACCCAAAAGCATTTTTCCACCCTCTTAAAGATACAAATGCGTTTCACCGAGTATGGCAAAAGCACTGGAGCACTTTGCATCATGTCAGCTGAGCTTCTTCTACAAATACATCATTGTGATGCACATGATCAGGAAACGGTTAACATCCATGGGGCTATAACAAGTAACCCTTCTCTACAATGTTTAACATATTAGAAGACTTTTGTGGGACCAACCGGCAAAGCTGATTTGCTAATAAAATGAAAAAGGCACTGACCATTCTGAGGCTGTTTCCACATCAAACAGGTTTTGCAACTTTTTGACCTGCACTGCCAGCAAGGAAAAAGTGTATCCACAGGTGTCAAAAAAATTAAAATCCCATTCTGGAACGCTCCCAAAAAAAGGTGAATCATCAGAATCTGCTGATTCAGCTAAACTTGGAGGTGGCAACATGGATACAAGTTAAATTGCTCAAATATGCAGCAGTTGGACTTTGGACAATTTCCAGTCAGAAGACCATTCATTATCATGCAGAACATGTAGAATGAGCACCAATCCCAAACTATGACACATCATACAGGCAACAACAAACAGATTTTGATTTCTCCCATTGTCGGCAAGGTTGAGATGGCCTCAAAGTTGGCTTCAAATGTGCCCAAACCTACAAGGTTGTGAAGCTAGCAAGGCAGGAAGTAGGACAGGATAATAGTTCCATCAAGTGAACTGGAGCATTGGCCAGGTTCTAGGGAAAAGATAGTGTGGCCTTGTGCTGTCATGGCGTGGCGTTAATTCCTGCACCTTTGGTTACTGAGAAGAATGGAGCTAGAAAAAGTATATATATCATGAATACCATATAAATTTGGTGTGTGGATTGGGTGATTTACAAGTACCTTTTAGGCTTTTTGTCAAATTGAAAATGGCCAAAATCCATTCAAAGTAATTTTTTGGCAATTTCAATGGTGCATATTTGCTGCTCCTCCGAGATGTACCTACTCTAGACTTTCTTCAAAATGTCCAGGGTGGGTTGAGGTTTGTTGTAGAATTGCCAGTAGTGGACATTGTCACTTGTGTGCCTGAATGTTGAGCAGTACAAGTGGCAGGCTGTTGAGTGGTGTTGGTACCAATGTTCAGAGAATTCTCTCAGGCCAATCCTGACCATGCACAAGTTGATTCAGCCAACTTAAGTTGATCCAGCCAACTTCAGTTGATCTGAAGATAAGTTGATTGATTCTATTCTTTTGATCAATGAAATCAATTACAAAATACAAAAAGCTGTTAATATTGAGCAGAATTGAATTTGGATCCACCATGTTGGACCAAAGCAAAATATGCTCTATTGTGAGTGTCTTTAGCGCTCAGAACAAACTCTCTGCAATCTAAATTTGTAATCCACTGTACAACACTTTTGAGACAATAGTTCTCCTGTGTTAGGTATACTTTGAGTGACATTGTTCCTATTTTATTAATGTTTGGCTTGATTTGATTATTCAATCAATAAAGTAAGTTTAAAGATTTTCCCTTGGAAAATCCCTTGTTTACAGAACTTGATTCAACTTCTACGAGGATTCTGTGTTGAATGCAGTACTTTGGGACATCTTGTATTATTCCCTACTGCATTGTACACAACATCAATATCTCACTTGTATAGGGTCATTCCCTTTTCATGTGGATATAGATTATCCGACAGACTTGCGTCAAATTCTGACATCACGATCAAAGTTCGATCGTGCGTGTCAAATCTTTGTACTTTAATAGATTTTCTTGGAACATAAAAAACTCATATTTCGTCACATCCCAACACACTCCTGCCATTGTGACAATCACCATTGGCAGCAATGGGACATGCTCTCATTCACTGTTTATTTTTGTTTTGTATTCTCTTTTTGTGTGGATGTAGATTGTCCAACAGACTTGCGCCTGGCACACTTGTGTCGAATCCCGACATAACGATCAAAGTCCGATCGTACGTGTCAAAAACTTCGTACTTGAATAGTTTCTTTTCGGAACGTAAAAAACTCATATTTCGTCATATCCCAACACACTCCTGCCATTGTGACAATCACCATTGGCAGCAATGGGACATGCTCTCATTTACTGTTTATTTTTGTTTTGTATTTTCATTTTGAACATATACATACTTGTCTGACCTAGT